ATTCACTTTCAAACACAGTCTTACAATTTTGGTTTTGCATCTTTATGTTTTATTAATAAATACTAAAAGGACACACTAACTCGCTATTGAATACTTTATAATATTCAGAAAAGTTTTTTAATTCCAATTAAAAAACTTTTGGTAACAGTATCAGTATTTCATCAAAAATTTAAGATGCTGTATTGTTGATATTCTAATTAGCCCAACATTGCATTTTGATGTTGATATAAGCTGTGAGTCATGTGTTTTTCCTTATGCAAAGCCTTAGCTGTTTTGTCTTTTGATAGAATTTCAGCATATAAAACATTCTTGGGTTTAATGAAAAGTTCCCCTTTCCTGTGTCATAGGTTCATCCTGAGTCCCAGATGTGTAAAGGCAGGATGCTGGGCAGGGCAGATTTACCAGGACGTCCACAGATGACATTACCGTTATTTCTTTTCATAGAACCACAATCCTGTAAACATGTTTTTGTTCCTGTGCAGTGAAACACACTGTTGTGGCTCAAATTCAAATCTAACAAAGATCAGAGTTAATAGAAAAGCAAATGGAAGGTACTAGAGGAAATGGCGGGAGGAATTACTTTGCAGCCTGTCCCCAGCCCACCATTGCCGTGCCACAGAAGTCAGGAAGCCACGCTGGGTGCTTTGTACTCCTTCCGTTAGTTAGATTGTTTTTCATCTGGGAACCTTTTCAAAGTTTTTCTTCTGCTTCTGTATTTTTAAGAAATCAAAACATAATATTAGGACATGGAGGGTTATGAAGCATGAAGTTCCATAAATATTTATACCAAACGTCAGAAGTGGACAGTTCCTATTTTCTTGACATATTGAGGTCATATTTCACTATTGACCTCTTCAATTGAAAAATACGGAGTTAGTATACCACCTTCTTTTTTATTTATTTATTTATTTTGATTTCTTTAATGAGCTTTGGATGCTGGGATCTGTCCTTTAGTTTCATGTAAGTTTTAGTAGACTATTTTTATATCTTGGTTTAGGTTTCTTAAAGTTCACACTGTTTCAAAAGAAACAATTTATATGTAATTTTAGGCCCAACAGTAAACTTTTTAATCTTTTTTTGGACTTTTATTATTATTACATTAAATAATTGTTTTTTTTTTGGTCAAGGCTATTAAGTAAATTTGCATCTAAAAGCATATTGTAAATTACCCCTTTTATATTTTCTTTTCCCCCTCACTTAAAAATCCTTGGCCTATGACAAACATTTTTATCCTTCAAATTGTTAAAACCTTATGAAGTAATTATACATGGCAATTATGGAGAATTTAGAGGTACAATTAAGCAGAAAAGGGGAAACATCACCTGTAATCTCGCTCTATTTTTCTAGTTTTCATATATGTATAGGCTATTTTATATAAAAAACATTTAAAAATTATGGAATATTGGTAAAGTCATTTCCTTGGTAATGATTGTGTTTTCCTCCTACTAAGAGTTTCATTTGCTTTCTACATGAAATAATGTAAAAAAAAAAATGTAATTTTTCCTCTCAGTTGATTAGTAGGATTGGTACCTATCACCTTCAAGATGCTTGTGGTTTGGTAGAAAGAAAATAATATATTTAAAAATTATGTGGTGTTAAGGTTGCAATGGCATATACCTGTAATTTTAGCACTTTAGGAACCTGAGAGAGGATGATGGAAAATTTGAGTCCTCCTTGGGCAGCTTATCAAGACTGTCTCAAAAAATTAAAAAAAATAGAAACATGGTGAAGGGGATCTAGCTCCATAGTAGAGTGCCCTGGGTTTGATCCTTAGTATCACATACACATGCAGACATGTATAGTGTGAATTAATAGGTATAACATTTCAGGTCAGAGTTTATTTGAGTTTATTTGGGTATCAGCCAGAGGGAGCTCTTTGGAGGTACACAGAAGATATAATTATAGGGAAACTAAGAATTATAGAACCAAGTACCTAACTGGGTACCATAAAGATTTCTGGTCTAACTTAAGTAACAAAAATTTTACATATCATTGTGTAAATGTATATATTTCTATTTGTCAGTTAAACTGACTAAAAGAAAAACTAGAAAACCAGTGAGTTCCAAGAAGGCCAGGGAAGTGCTGACAGGTCTCTTAGGGCTGCGCCCAATCACGGTCTGAAGCCCCTCAGTCGGACCTTCCGCAGGCTGAGCTCTGGCTGAGAGCAAGGTCTGGAGTAAGGTGCTGGGAGCAGCACCCAAGACTGGGATGGGCTGGGCTGCTGCCTCTGGGTCATCCTGTGTTACCCCATGTGGTCAGCCTCTGCCTTCCCCACCCATGGGGAATTATTTCCCTCTGAAATAAGGCCCTTGAGTCCTTGGTATGTGGCCCTCTTTGTGTATAAATTCATCTCTCATTTTTCCCCCCGCAGTGCTTGGTACTGAACACAGGGCCCTGTGAGTGCAGAGCGAGCACTGGACCGCTCCTACTTCTGGGCCACCTCCCGCTGGCAGTACTCTGCTCTTACCGTCTGTGTCTGTAAATCACTTCTGCATTCACTTAGTGTAGGTCCCTTTCTCAGCTGCTTTGTCAGGCAGCTCCCCAGTAATCTTCATACATGCTTTGCTCAAGACTCGGGAGCCTTGTGAGACTGGCTCCCTTGAATGTTAAGGTTTGAGGTTGCCTGCAGTTGAAATTGATCCTATATATTCTAAGAAAAAAAATTCTCTTTTGGAAGGTTGGTAGATCCCGTTAAATTACCTTCTGATTTTCCTTTGCCAACAGAACTGTATAAATGACTGGGTACAGTGGTCCTAACCCTGGCTGAGCCCACATATTCTTAGCCTCCCTAAAAAGCAGTAGCTATATCACATATATATATGTGTGTATATATATATATATATATATATATATATATTTTTTTTTTTTTTTTTTTTTGTCTTTTTCGTTTTTATCGGTACCAAGGATCGAACTCACGACTGCCTGTTTGCAAGGCAGGCGCTTATGCCACTGAGCTAAATCCGCAGCCCCTATATCACATATTTCTAACCAAGTGCAAGGGGATGTCACTGAGAGGATGTCTGGGAAAGAGATGAGCCTGTTTTTGCCTTGAGTACCATGGTATGGTGAGGGATGTTTGAGGAGATAAGTGACATTTCTAACTTGCAAGGTTGCCCTGTGCCAGGGCTCTTGTGCATTTTTTTAAGGCTCTGTGCTGAGTATTGAATTGTGTTGTCACTATACAGCTTGGGATACAAGTAAATGTCACTCACTGACATAAAACATGCTTTATAGTTGATGTTCTGGTGGTTGTATCCAAAAAAGCTGAGTCAGTTATAGATTGACTCAGCACACTGTAAGTCTTTGAATATAGAAGACTGAAAAAGGACTGGGAAAGGACTCCACAGCCACACTGTAGCTCGGCCTGTACCTTAGGAGCAGTGTGGCTGGGATGCTGCCTCTGGCACTGCCCAGTGCTGCCCACCCTGGACCCTGTGTAGCTGGATGCTGCCACTGCAAGTGAGTGCTGACTGTCCCAGCAACTCCAGGACAGCACTGTCCATTGGAAATGTAGGGCATCACGAATGTGATTTTACATTTTCTAGCCACTTTAACAAAGAAAAGGATGATTTTAATGATATTTTATTAAACCTTCTACATCTATTATAACATCCCAATGTGTGAGAAGTATAAAAATTATAAATGGAATTGTACATTACTTTTTCATTCCAGGTTTTCCAAATCAGATGTGTACTTGCAGCACATGTCAGTGGCCCGGGCTGCTTTTGAAGCACTCTGTAGCCTCACAGCCAGTGCCTTGTGGGTCTTTACCACATTGCTCTAGGTTCCGACCCCTTGGCTGCAGGGTCTGATTATCTGCTCACCTAATTGTGGTTCTTCTGCAAGGAGAAGACCAACTGACTGTGTGCTCCCTAACTGAAAACTCCTTGCAGAAGAGTTAGAATTGGGCATCTGGGGAAGGCAGTGCTCACTGTAGTTAATGACTTCTATATTCTGGTCTTGTTTTTCTAGTTTTGTAGCTACATACTCGTTCCTTGGCTGGATATAGCTTCTTGCCGTATGTTGCAGTCTGAAATGTTTATTGTTTGCTTTTGGCATCAGAAGTTTGCCAATGCTTGCTTTGAAAGGGCAGTGTTAGAATTATTTGTCCTAAGGCTGTAGTGGCGAACCTATGTATGAGTCACAGTGAGCACACATCCCTCTCTGTCAGCACATGAGCCAGCCCACCTCAGCAGCTGGATAACAGTTGTTTTTCTAAACTAAAACCTCAGTACCCAGGTTGAATTGTAGTGTTGGTACTTTGCAATAAATAAATGGATTTGGGATTACAGTTTGTATACTTGGTCTCTAAAAGGTTTGCTGTCACTGAGTATGGGCCAGCCAGGATCAGTATCAACTACAATCATGGTGCTGATACCTTGTATCCCTCGCCCAGTCGTGTAATGGAGAGGTCCAGTGCTGGGATGCTGTGGGGTAGAAGGGCAGGGGTATCAGCTGACAGTCAGCCGTGCCTCTACTGACCTGTTACGTTACTTCCTGCCTTTTGGTTCAGTCTTCAATTAAGCAGGATTGGAAGTTTCTGATATGAGCCAGAAGTTGTGGGTGTTGGTGAGTCACGATGAATAAAGGTGCTTCTTTGCCGTCAAGAGGCTAAGTGTGTGTGGAATGACGTGGATGAGGTGGGCGATCTGTAGAGGACCAGGGAGAAAAGCTGGGAGGACAGCAACGCATGTTTCCTTTAAGGGCACAGGTGTCTCCACTGCATGAACATTGCTTCTCTGTAAGACAGTCTTTTTTCTGTCTGTGTCTTAGACTCTGAGTAACTATTTTTACGATTATGTATTCAATATATTAACTGTTGTTATTTTCTTACTATTTTGTTATGAAATTTTGTTTTATTATTTCATAAAGTAAATAGATCTTGTGACATCTTGCATTAAACATGCATATTTTTACTATAAGTTTTGCTGAAGAATAAATGTCAGTTTTTTGTAACAGTAGTTTTCTTTTTAGAATGTAATTAAATTTATATATTTTAGGTTGCCTGCCTGATTCGAGTGCCTTCTGAAGTGGTTAAGCAGAGGGCTCAGGTATCTGCTTCTGCAAGAACATTTCACATTTTCTCTAACATCTTATATGAAGAGGTAAGATGTTGTTCTAGACTTTTTTTGAGGAAGATATTATAGTTGTTAATGCTGTAGCGCTCATCCCAGGAGCACTAGAGGAAGCCTAGAGTGGAATTTAATGTCCAGTTATAGTAACTTTTCTTGCTGTTTATTTTTGCCTTTTCTTTGTTTTGAATTTTTACTTCTGTTTTTAATTCTTTTTCGAATTTCTAAACAGACACATCCTTTGTGCTCCTTCTGTATGTTTCCTGAGTAATAATCTTCCTGTAGTTATTTTAGGGTCCAACATGGGACAAATTATAATAGGAACTAAGATATTTTATTAAGCTATCACTGCAGTATTTCAGGTTCCATGGAAGAGAAATATAATAATGGACAGATAATAGCAGACAACAAAATGTATTAATGTGATTTCTCTTTTTCTGATCAGTGTTAGCTGTGGGTCAGAAATTATTCTTTCTTTCTTCTTAGCCTTGTGATTAGCTGTTTCCATTTTAGGATTTTGTTGTTTTATTTTGTTTTTAGTAGTACTGAGAGATAAACTCAGGGGTGCTCAAATACTGAGCTAAGTCCCCATCCGTTTTTTATTTTTTTATCTTTTGAGACAGGGACTCACTAAATTGTCTGCGCAAGACTCAAACTTCCAATGCTCCTTCAGCCTCCCTTAGTGCTGGAATTTTTCAGGTGTGTGTCACCATGCCTGGCTTCTTATAGTGTTCACAGAAGCTGTGTTTTAAAATTTTTCTTTATTTTGCGGTATGCTGGGGATTGAACTCAGGGATAGTCTACCCCTGAATGACATACTGAACCCCTTTTTATTTTTATTTGAGAGAAGATCTTGCTAATTTGCCCAAGTTGGCCTGGAATTCTCAATCTTCCTATTATAGCCTGTGACTAACTGGGATTATAGGCATGCCCAGATTTTTTTTTTTTGCAGGTGGTGGGCAATGGAGTTGGGGTCAGGATTGGGAATTAAACCCATAGGGCTTTTGCACTAAGCAAAATATACCCAGCTATTCATTTATTTGACTTTATTTTAAAATTTTGAGACAGATTCTTGCAAAGTTGCTTAGATTGGGTTCAAACCTGTGATCCTTTTGCCTCAGAAGTACTAAAATTTTAGGTGTGTCTTGCCACACTTAACTTACTTTCATTTTGTTTTTTGAGATAAGGTCTAACTGTGTTGCCCAGGCTAGCCTTGAACTCCTGGGCCTAACTGATCCTTTTGCTTCAGCTTCTTGAGTCACTGGGACTATGGGCACATGCCACTGCACCTGATGCTTTTTGTTTTTGCTATTGTTGTTTTGTTCTTAATGGGAATTAGTCTGTTCTGTTTGGTTTCTATTTTGGTTTTTGTTTTTGGAATGAGTCTCACTATAAGCCAGGTTGGCCTCAAACTCGTGATGATTGTACCGCCTTAGCCTCCCAAATGCTGGGATTACAGGTGTGCACCACCATGCCAAGCTGGGTTTCAGTCTTACTGAATGCAGGTTTTAGAAAATTTATTCTTCATGGCTGTCACCTAGGTCTGTCACCTCTCATTTGATGATAAGACATTGAATGAGACTAATTCTGTGGAATCGCCATAGAATTGGACTATGTGGATGGTTAAATAGATAAATCAAGATTTGTCTGGAAATATACACTACTGCTTTATTGAGAGATTATTAATGAGCTTCTGGTATAAAAGCTATAAAATTAATTCTCTTTTGTATGGAAGGATAATAGATATTTGTGTACTTTCGCTTTGGAAATATATTTGAAGCACTGCTGTTTTTTTTTTCCAAGAAAAGAAATGGTGAATAACATTAATTACAGCTAAATTAATGTGGAGCCAGTTTTATTTTTTGAGATGTATCCATCTGAAAAGAAGCTAACCTGAGCTTTGAATACTGTAAGCCTATTTAGAACCTTTAACCTCTGTGTAGAACTGTGGTGTGGCTGAGTTATTTCCCAATTCAAATTTTAGAGCAGTCAATTATCCTTGAATATCAGTTAGATATTATATCCAGAATATCATTTAGAAAATCTCCTTGCTATTCTAACTTCTGAACTCGTGACTTTTTGTTTGTTTCAGGGCATCCAAGGATTATATCGAGGCTATAAAAGCACAGTTTTAAGAGAGGTAACTCACTTGACTTCCACTGTTGAACAAAAAATGATATGCTTTTTTCATTAAATTTGTGTTTCTTAACAGTTATAAATTTAGGGGAAACTGGTTTAAAAATCAAAAAGGGAAATTATCACTCTTCTAAACACTGAAGGTATGGCCAACCTTTAGCCTGTGTATTATTACACATGTCTATTTTACAATAAAAAATGTTTTAAAAAGGAAGTTTTGTTAGTGGCATAAAGTAACTATAATATATACCTTATATGTGGCCCAAGATAATTTCTCTTCACTCCGTGAGGCCCGGGTGAGCAAGGTTACACCTGCCTGGTAGTGTTGGCTTCTTACCTCTAAAAGAATGATACAGTGGGTTGCTGGAAGAGCCCTCCCAGTGGTCAGAATGCCTACGTGTTGTGCGGCCTTATTGTTATTCTAGGGTGGGTCTCATAACCAAAATACTACAGAATAGCTACCAAGACTGAGATATCAAGTAATTTACTGTAATGTGGAGAATTAATGTAAAATTGGCAATGAAATAAGCACTTTGGGACAATTGTTTCCAGAGCCTGTATCATGGAGTTATTTGGCTCTATAATAAGGGAGTACAATGAGTTGGGAAGTTTACTGTGGCCTGGAGACCAGCGCTGTGAATAGGTGACTTAGAGTGTAGTGTATTCAGGGACTCAGTGCCTTCTAACTCCACAGCCCTGTGATTATGTGAAGCTTCTCCTTTCCCCTCTCCTTTCCTCTCCCTTCCTCTCCCCACCCCTTCCCTCTCCTCCTCTTTCCTCTTGTCTTTCTTTCCTGAGTGAAAAAGCAAAACTTTACCAGCAGGACGTGATTTTAGTAGACTTAGCATCTTTTAATCTTTGTCTCCTGTAGGACAGACTATTTTGAAGTTTCAAAGGTGAATTTTAGATAGTGAGATACAAGAGAAATCTTTGGTTTGGGACATATTTTTCCATTAAAACACAAGTGAGAACTTATATATGACTCCATTTGAAGTTCCTTAAATAATAAGGCCTTTTTATTTATAAAAATGTTTTAATGTAATTAAAGAGTATCTCAGCTGGCAAAATACTGAGGTTAATTGAAATCTGTCATTTTACTCTCAGTAGTTTTATTTTTAGCTATGGGTTATAGTCTGCCTTATCACATACCACCACTGTTACATGTGATTTAAAGGTTTGGTTTTCACAAGGTAGCTACTGACAGGGCAGCCGTCTGGTTGGTATAGACCTTGAAGAACTTTTGGTGGCAGATCGAATGTTACATAATTAGTTATTTGTGTAAAGATGACCTCTGTCTTTCAGAAATATCACCCATATTGTATCTTTGTTCTGTTTTTATTTTCTGACTTACTAAACTGTTATTTACTCACATTTCACCTAAATGTTACAAAAGGTTGGAGGACTAATAACAAACTTTTCACAAATGTTCTTGAAAGATGTTGAATATATTTTTATTTTAAGAGTACTGATTTTGCATACAAAAAAGATAAAACACATGGTTAAAACTATAGTCTATTCTTTAAAATTTATTTTGACAGATGTCATGCTAGCAATTAATTTATACGTTACAATCCTTGCAAATAGTGTGACCTTATTGAGATGACTTTGTTTACTCAAAATGGCAGAGCTTTGTTGGAAATTTAATTGGGGTCTTCTGCATTGTGCGTATTCATAAAAATTCTTTCAGAACTCATTTTAGTTGATGTATTGCTTTTGTACAGGATTCTCAGGTAGAATGAGAGAGGAGGCATTATTGCTGAATGAAACATAGCTTCTTTTCCAAGTAAGAAAAATAAGAAATGATACATCTGTCTTAAACAAAATTCTTGTATTATAGTTTCGATGCTTACATTATTCTGACACCAATATCAAATCTTTTGCCAAGAACTCATTTGATTGTTTCAATAAGAAAATACGTGAAAGCTTTAGTGAGAATCACTGAGAAACTTAAATATTTACTCTGAGTGCAATTTTTTCTTTAAAATAGTTTTATTTCCATAGCAGTAGCCCATTAGTATGAAATTGAAGTTCGAATTCATGCATTAGAAGACAGATTACTAGTGTTCTTTAGGGTTTTTGAATCCTGTCATACTTTTTTTATCTGCCTTTGATATTTGTGGATACTTGTCCCTTATGTTCTCTTAAAGTGTTTTAGTTACCGTGAATTTTCTACTGAGTCTAATCAAGGTCAACAGATTATACTATTTACCTCAGCCTTTCAGTTTTCATTTTTCTCATGATCTTGGCCAAATTAGATGTGGCCAAGCATCTTGGTGCAGTGGTGTTATTGTAATAAAAGCAGGGAACAAAATCATCGCTGCTGTCATAACCAAGATGATTTCAGGTGGAATATTGGCCAGAAAATTTTGCAGAGAGCAACCTCATAATGTTGGATGTAAATTAGAAAAACTTATATAGAGAAAGAAAGGCAATTTGTTTCAAAAGAAGTGGGAAATAAGTTAAGTTCAGCAGATGTCTTGTCCACAAATTCTTCTCCATAGTCATTTGCAGAGCATTATGTGCTGAATGTTATTCAGAACTTTTCTGCCCTAAAGAATTCACATTCTCTGGGGAAACAAATAGGGAATAATGTTCTTTAGGGTGTAGGGTAGTGACGGCTTCAATTACAAGCACATCCAAGGTGTACCTCAACTTACAGAGGAAGCACTGCTTGAATGGTACTCAACTAGTATTTGTTGCATTAGTAAAAGCAAGTCTTAATTTTAGATCTATCTTAAGCCCATGAGGATGCTTCAACAGAAGCATGGGGTATGGGTAAGGAGGAGAAGTTGAACCTCCCACCTTAGCTGGGTATTTGCCAGGGGACTGGAAAAGGGCACATGGGAAAAGCCCTGGTAAGGGCTTGACTGGCTTGTATCCATAGAGATAAGAGGATAAATTATTGGTATGTGGCTCTTGACTGCACAGATCTGAAGCTGAGAAGCTGATTGGAGCTGTCTCAGGGGTAGGATGTTGCTATTTTAATAACACATGACTCTTGGCTTCCTTTTGGTAGAGGAGAGTAGCCACTAACGGGGTTAGAGGTAGGAGGGGGTAATTCTTTCTGACCCCAATTTTGCTATAAGCTGGCAAGCAGGCCAAACAAATCATTCAGTCTATTGTGTACGTTCATTGTAACCCTTAGTATTTAGGTGCAGAAATCACTGTTCATTGAAAAGTTCACTACAAAAAAATAGAACAGCTTTCCAAATTTGAATACCCTTATCATCCCTGGGCAACAGCATTTCCCTCAATCTGTTGACTGGACACAGCTGCCTTTGAAAATCCGCTTCTTTATTGTCTTTGAAAATCTTCCCAGCTCTTTTGTCTGCCTATTCCATGCCACCCCCACCTCCATCTCTTCTGTTATGGTAGACTCTGGGGTGTCTTTCCAGAAGCTTTCTATCTAGGGGTTGTGTGTCTTATTGTTTGTTAAACTAGTATTTTTGGAAATCATTTTAAGTCACTTCATAAAGAGTACCACTGTTTTGCATAGTACTTCATTATATAAGGGAGCTAGTATTCACTCAGTCCCTGCTCTGTTGGTGGACCTACAAAGATGCTGAACTGCTTAATTTTGTTCATGTGTCATTTTGTTCATGCCTGAGAATATGTGTAAGTTTCAGTCACTTGGTTAGTGGCATGGTCATGTGTAATTTTGATAGGTAACACCAAATGGCCCTTAGTGGGAGTGCCAGCTGATACTTGCCAACAGTGGAGGAGTGCTCTGTTTTCCTTGCCACTCCACTGGGGATGAAAAATTATGTCATTGTAGCTTTATTTATAAGTAAGTTTTGGTGTATTAACATATATCTAAAAATTGTTTTGTTTCCTTTACTGTGTAGTGATTAAGTCATCACAACATTCTTATGAGAATTAAATGAGAAGATTCAGGTAAAGTACTTTCTATAGTGATTGTCACATAGTACCATACGTACTCAAGGAATATGAACTGTGATTACTCATATCCTTGGTAACAAAGCACCTTTGACAGTGAAGGACCATAATGCAATATACAGCTCTGCCCCTTACCAGCTGTCTACTTTTGGCAAGTTACCTAACATTTCTGAGTCCTGTTTGTGCTAAGAACTTTGCATAGACTGAAATCTCATACCAGTCCTCTGAGACAGATATTACAGCAATACCATTTACTAGGAAATTCAGAAATTAAAACAGTTTCTAGGTTGCTAGGTTCTTGAATGTTATTCAAGAAGGTTCTACATTTAATCTTCTACATTTAAATGTGCGAACAGTTTCATGATGAATAACAATTGTGTTGGAGCTGAGTAGTCAAATATTGCATGTAAATTTTCTTAGCTGTAATTCCAATGTTATCCAAATGTCTTATAGAAGGGAATTTCTATAGTTGCAGTAAATTGCATATTATATTTACTGGCTGCTTCTGTAGGAAAAACAGTAGTATCTTAATATAATAATGTAGTTATCCTAACTGTTGGATGAGCTGATCAGAATCACTAATATAAGTGAGTTGGAAAAATTGTATGATTTCTCTTTTGCATCAAATTGATGATTTGTTGCAGCATGTTTTTGAAATAAGATTACCCATTCAGAGTCTTTCTTACTGAGTTACAGTGCTCTATTGTTTTTGAAATATTTTGAAGCAACTGTAGTCTAGAACTTCTATTGTTTACCATCTTAAGTCTGTGTATTACTTTTGCTTTCATAACAGTAAAAAGAAGAAAAGAAAGTTAATATCAATTGAGGATTTTGTATTTCAGTGTGTTAGTGCTGTGTCTTTCTCTCTGTGTGTTTCTGTGAAGTTGTTTTCTTTGATCCCTATCTCTTTGGCTTGTCTTTACATCTCATTTGTGATTTCTCTTCCCATGTAACATAAAAGTTCTTGAAACTATTGGATTTTACTTCTTCATACTATGCACAGGCTTTAGCACAACACTGTCCACATAGTGAGTGCTCAATAAGTCCTTGTGGTTTCCCCATTTCTTTAAGCTTGATTCATTTCCCGTGTTATCACACACCATCATC